TAAATATAGAACCTGTGTGGATTCCAGAAAAATCAAATCCTATTAAAGTTATAGTTGTGCTATTATTGTACCATGAAAAACAGAACAGTTCAAATTCATCCCTAAAAGCAGCAAAAACATTTGAACATCCATGAGCCTTATGGGTGTAAGCTTCTCACTGGAACTTTGTATCTGTTGAACATGACAGACTATTGTTGTTGAATTGTATTGTAATTTTATGGGAGTGTATTTTTTTGGTATGGATGAATAATTAGGTGAAATGTAACTATATTTTTAGCCATGCTAGACTGAAAAAAAAACACCACAAGGCTTCTGTTAGGGTACAAATGTTGAGTCTCTACTGCTAACCTTTACTGTGGTAAGACTGTTGAATGGAAACTAAACTTTCAGTTTGACTTTAAAAAAAAGTATCTGTTAGAAAAGAAAACGACGACATAGGCAGGACTGTTTTCATGGTCAAACAGATGGCGAGGAATTTCTTTTTTGATCTTAGTCTTCCTCCGTTACAGTAACACCTTGAACTGTACCTCTATTGTCTGTATTTTCTGCTTCTGTGGTTTTTTGACATTGTCCAGATTTTTGAACGATTAAAAAGCCTTCATGGTGACACCTTAAGAAAAGTGATGTTCATGTCTTCTCTGTTCAGCTAGGACCCAAAGTGTTAACCTTCACATATTCAGAGCCTCATATTTGACATTTTCACCACGGTTAATGTCTTTGCTAGATCAGTCAGCTCTGTAAATGATTAATCTTCAGGTATTCTAGCTGTTTATTTAGCCAAGGCAGCATTCTAATACAGAGGGATCTAGGGATAAACTTCCCAGCCTCCTCTTTGTATTTCCAGCCCAGCATCTGGAGAGGCATTTTTACAGCTGGTGGAAATTGCAGGTTAGATTGCAGGACTGGGCACTTTGTCTTGATGCAACATGTCAGAGTTGGAATGCTGACAGCAAATGAACCTTAAAAGATCAGAGTGGCTTTTACATTCATACCATCCACATCTCGAAAGTTTAGTTATTAACCCTTTATAGGGAGACTCAGTGAAATCAAAATGTCAAGCCATTAGTGACATTACACTGCAAAAATTATCTAGAAGTAAATAAAAATGTCCTAAATTAAGTGTATTTACCCTTAATTTGAGTAGGTTTATAAGATGATTTGCCAAATAAATAAGATTTTTACTCTTAAAATAAGACAATTATTTAAAATAAGACAAAGCAGTTTTTTCTTTTTTCTTATTTTAAATGTAAATTATCTTGTTCCATTGCCAAAGTGTCTCACTTTCCTCTTCAATTCAAAAGAAAAAATAACTTATTCATTCAATTTCATTTTTTTTGCGGTAACATTAAAAAAATATGAATATTTTAATGGAAAAAATTTAATAACAAAAACACCAACTTGACCGAATATATAAAGAAAACTAACAAAAGCGCTTCTATAAGAAATTCACGAAAAACATTGCAAGAGTGAAAGAAACCCATTTTATTTGGTCCAAAATAACCTTAGAGGCATTAATGCTGATACTGGCACTTACATTTTTTAGTTTATACATCTATATATAATTGTGAACTAGGATTATGAACTTTTTAACTTTACTGTTTAACTTTTCAATTAGCTTTTTACCTTTTTTCTTGAGTTAACTTTTTTTCAACTTAATTTCAGGTAGGTAATATATCATTCAAAGGCTCATCCAATTGGTCAAATGCCAAAATAGGATGAACAACCATGTAGCAGCATCTTTGCTTAATGGCTGGATATAGATCTTGTGCTTCTAGACCTCACTGAGGGACAGGGGGAGTCCATTTGTAAGGTGATCAAAAACAGTAACTTGCCCTATAAAGGGTTAATGAGGTCTTGATTAGATTTGTTACTCCTTACTCCTAAATATGACTTTCTCTTCTCTGTTTAAACATGACAGAACATATTGACCCAGCTGAGGAGGTTTAGCTGCAAACACTCCTTTCGCTGTCATGGCATGATCTTTGTTTGATGTTTTCATTTTACAGCTAGACCCACCTATCTATTATAATTAGCTGCCAATCTATGCTTACCCTGATTTAGCAAATGTCTTTTGTGAATCCTGCATAGTGTACCCATGGATAACGTGGAATCCTTCTAGAGGAAATTACTCACTTATGGGAGTAAACTCTTCCTTTACGTTTTGGTCCAAAATAACCCTCAGTATTATTACAGCAGAGTTATTTGCAGATGTGTCCCTTGGATGTACTCAGATGGATTCACATTAGACACACTAGTTGATTTATGAAAGGAAGAGATCAAGATAAAAAGCCCCTCGGTCTGACAGAAAGAGCATTCTTCACCGATTCCTCTTAGATGACCCCAGAGTGAATCACCCCTAAAAATAGTCAAGAGTCGCCCCCTCCGTTCAGTTTGAATGCTAACGTATTTTCAAAAATGACGTAGACAAACAGAAAACTTTGTGTTTTAAAAACACACAGTTGGCATGGAAACAATGCCAGGGTGTGATCACATGCAGAAATATTCAGGTGTCTTCAGTCGGCTCCTTTCAACATATTGCAACAGCTTTCAGATGTCAGCAATGGAATATTTCACAATGCAAAGACTTCACCTACATTATACTCTTTCCATTTACTCACGCATGTTTATTTAACACAGCTGAATAGTTTTTCTGCATCATCACTTCATATGTTTGTTTGACGGCTCTGTTCTTTGATATTTTCAAATCAAATTAATCTTGGGTATTTGATATTACTTCATTAATAAACATTTTTTTTATTATTATACTGCCTCACGTTGTAATAATAAATAATTAAAGAAAAGGCTGTTACTAGATTAGATATTTCCACTTGTTGCAGTAATAGTTCCAACCCTTTGCTGCCTTTGTGATGGTACAATAAACCCAGAAACAGCTTTCTGCTTCATTGATCGCGCATAAAAGAACTGTGATGGTTGCGTGTTGCTGGATTCATCTGTTTAAATAAAAATGTGACAAAACAGTAAAGAGAAGCTTTCACCTCATTTTGAAAATTAGAAGAAATTAATGTGCCTGCAAACTTTGCTTATTTGGTTGGATGTTATTAAAAAATAAAAAATAAACATTTTTTTTTAAAGTTAAGCAGCAAAAATCTAATCTCACTGAGATTAAAATTCCCTTTAACAAGAGCATTCTTGCCAAGAAAGGCAGCAGTTCAGTTACATGTCACCTTCATTCATCAATCAATCCACACAAATATTTTTGATTCAAAAGAAGAATGTATAGTACAAAAACACAATATTTAAAAACCACCATGACAATTTTTATCAGTATTATCAAAGCCATCTAATACGATGCATATTTCCTCTGATCACTGTCTAAGTTATGATGTAAATGTAAAAGTGAAGGTAGCTTTGGAAGTAAAAAAAAAGTAAAATCCATAGAACCAGTGGAGATCAGAACAAAAATGATTACATCTAGATGCACATAAACAGGGGCGGAGCTAGATGGGGGGCCAGGGGTGCCCATGGCCACCCTTAGCCAATCATTGGCCACCCCTAACATTTATTTCCCTCCAATATAGATGGTGGCAACAGTAATAATCTCAAGTGGAATATTGAAAACATTTGAATTTTTCATATACTAACAATTAGTTGACAACAAAAACCCTGTGGTTAATTATACACATCAATATACTAACATTAAAGATGATAAGTACAGAATTCAAGCAGAAATAGATTTTGTGTTATATGAGGTAAAGCGAAAATGATGTTTCTCTGCAAGTTTAACGTAAAAGTAAATCCACCTGAATATAAGCCATCCGGATTGTACATATTTTTATTTCTTATTTTATTTTGTTTTTCATTGTGTGTGATACATGTACACTTGCACCTTAATCCTTATTTATCTTAATATAGTGTATACCTGGATATACTGTATATATATATTTTTATTCTTAATGCACCTTTTTCCTCCTTGTTTGCACCTTCTTTAACTTCTATGCCAATAATTGACGAGTGAATTTCTCCGCTGTGAGATCAATAAAGCTCTTCTAATCTAATCTAATCTAATCTAATCTAAGACAACTAGGAGTCTTCAATGAAATCATAGATAAATAGCTATTTTAATAAAAACTTACCAAATAATCAATTTATGTAGATATTAGTACTTGAAAATATATCAAATGTATGCAGAATGATTATTGATAAAAGTAGGTGGGTAATGACGATGGAAAAGATGTTCGCCCCAAAACTCAAACCTGAAAGAATTTTATCCACTATACCTTTCATTTAGAAAGCATGGATGTTTGAATATATTGAAATTTTATTGTAAGTGCATACTTGGCTTTTAGGTGTGTGTCTTTGTACGTATGTAATTAAGTGATGTAATTTTGATGCCTATCTTGGCCAGGTCTCCCTTGCAAAAGAGATTTTTAATCTTAATGGGTATTACCTGGTTAAATAAAGGATAAATAATAAAATATATATATATATATTCGTTAATTTCTTAGCAAAGGCTGTGGGAAAGTATAGTTTTCCTTTATTTAGAAAATATGGATGTTTTTGACCATTCATTTTCCTGTTGGAGCAGTATAGATTGACCATGAGGTTTTGGTGCCTATCTACTTTTGACCACCCTTACAAAAAATGTCATGGCTACACCTCTGCATATAAACCTGTTACAGTCTGGTAGAAATGATGATTTCCTGTTCAATTTTTACATTTTTTTAACTTTGAGATTTGCAAAACTGATATTAGCAAATATCAGTTACTCACCCTGCATTTTCCCTTTTTTAATGGATTAATCCCAGCAACTACTTGAGTTTTGTATCTTTTTAAGGAATTCGATTGTGGTCATTGTAGGAAACAATCTTCAAAAATAACTTTTCTTTTTTTTTTTACATCTGACTGATACATCTAGTCTATAAATTTAAAAATAAACAAGTGAACTAACTTTTGTCCTGGGCAAGTTATCAGTAATTGTATTTTTCTTATAACCCCCCCTCAGCCTCTGTTCTCCGCCTCTGGATGGAAAGTTTTGCGCTCCCAGCGCGGTGAACCCGTGGGCGGCTGCAGAGAGGAGATACCAGCCTGGATACGGGATGCTTTTGACTTAAACCAGTCTAATGACGCAACACGTTTACTCATCGCAGCTTAAAACTGTGAGGGACAACACGATAATTGCAGGGATTCCCGGGTGTCTCCCGACCGTGAGCTGGCTGAAGCTGACAGACATAACGTGACAGCTTCACGCGCTGCAGGAAATTTACCTCTCCGGACGCCAGATGTGAACTTTCAACATGGCATACATCACGTTGGCTTTTCTGCTGCTCGGTTTCACTGCAGGAGCGGTAAGCATTTCCATTTTTACGTTCATTTGAAGCAGAAAACTAGAAGGAAACTCTCAGATAAGCCGTTTTTTTCTTTCCACTGGGTTTCAGCGTATGTTGGTGTTTGGATCTGAAACGGGGTTCTTCAACTCATCCAAGAAAGGTAGGCTGCTGTTTGAGTCCTGAGGTGTCCTGTGGAAAGCTTGGTAACAGGGATCTGCAGATATCTGCAGAGAGGAGGTCAAAAAAACTGAAATTAAATCAAATATTGTTCTAGAGGCAAAAAGTAGTTTATTAGATAATCTGATATCCACAGAAGAGGATTAGGGCAACTGATTTTTTTTTTTTTTTTACTGATTTATAAAATCATTTCAGTTTAATATGGGAAAAATGTCAGAATTCTGACTTTAATCTCAGAATTCTGACTTTAATCTCAGAATTCTGACTTTTTTCTCAGAATTCTGACTTTAATCTCAGAATTCTGACTTTAATCTCAGAATTCTGACTTTTTTCTCAGAATTCTGACTTTAATCTTAGAATGCTGACTTTAATCTAAGAATTCTGACTTTAATCTCAGAATTCTGACTTTTTTCTCAGAATTCTGACTTTAATCTAAGAATTCTGACTTTAATCTCAGAATTCTGACTTTTTTCTCAGAATTCTGACTTTAATCTCAGAATTGTGGATCTTAATGTAGATTGGCACCATAAAGGAAGAGATGTGGGAGCACTCAGCTTCACTGACAAAGATGTGAGTTGTTTGGGAGGGACAGTAACACATTGGTGGAAAATGACGCAATTAGGGACTTTTTATGTGCCCGAGGGGTCCCTGGTGATGCTAATTCAATAATGGAAGGGCAGAAGGTGATTAAAAAAAGAGAGAGGTTAGTCTCAAAAACAGACATGGCTACGGCTTGATGCTAACATGTTTTTTGGCTTTCAGAATTCCGCCAGAGTTCTGAGAAAAAAGTCAGAATTCTGAGATTAAAGTCAGAATTTCTCATATTATACTGAAATAATAATAATAATAAAAAAATCTGTTAACTTTTAACATTTTTTCAGTGGGCCTAATCCTCTTCCGTAGATATAGAAAAAAATAAATAGTAAAAAATAAATATGATGCAAAGAGATTTCTTAAATACTTCTAAACTGTTTGATCATAATTTCTAAGATGTAATCCGATAGAGAAAAAATGGATGTGCTTGAGAAATAACAAACAATATTTAAAATCATAACAACTTTTCCAGATGGATTCTAACAAAAGAGACATAATTTTCTCCTTTGCCCAACACAGAGTATTAAAAACCAACACCTCTAGTTTGGTTAAAAGCTGCTCAGTCTTCATTCAGTGAATGGACCAGAGATGAATAATGAATGGACTCAGGTTTGAGAAGTGTCACTATGGAAAAAAATAATAATAAGTATGAGTTTTAATGCATAAAAATTACTTTTTGAATTTTACTTTTTTGACAACCCCTGGTTAGATCTTTCCCTTTTAAACTTATAACTATATTTTGTGAAATTACTTTCAGACCCCTAATTGTAGTTTAATTGGATTAACACAAATTAAGAACTAGAAAAAAGTAACACATGGTTTTCCTTTTTTTTTTTAAATATATATAAATTGTAGAAATTGTTTTGTACATCTATATTCAGCTGTTTTTGCTCTTAAACATCTAATATAACTGTTTATATAGAACATAATCCTCACATCCCTTCCTCTTTTTTGCTGCCTGATTCTTGAGAAGTCATCTCGCAGAAGTTTCTACTTAGGTGATGTCCCATTAGTCAGAAATAAAAATATTTGAACACTTAATATAACAAATGCTGCAGTAGACAGGACCTACGAGAGCTTCATTGACATCTCATGAAGTCTACTGTGTTTTTCCCTAAGAAAAAACAAAAATCTCTTGTACTTTTTGAAGAACCCCAAAACTTCTAAAATCACATATAGAGTGTATGTACAGACTTTGTCTCTTTTGGGGTTTCTTTTACATCCTTTCATGATCAGAAGCTGAAATTTTAACCCATTCTTTACAAAATAGGACAAGTTCTGTCCTGCATGTTTTAGTTGATTTATCTCTGTCATGCACTGATTGCAGTCATTTGGTGTTCTGGAGGAGAGACAGGTTTAAAACATGAAGGAGTTCCCATGATCAGGGTTGAGATTCTCTAATCTAAACCATTGTCGATCAGACTGTATGTTAAGGATAATTTTCCTGGAGGAAGGTTAAAAACCTGCCCCAATCTTAATTGTTTGGTAGGTTTCCTTCTAGTGTTGCCCTTTATTTAGCTCTGTCTGTTTCATTTGTATATTTTTTGTACGTGCAGCCTAAATTTTAAACCTGGAAAGGAAATGGTTTTGTATTTTTCTTATTCGCTTAAATTTCTTTTGTTGAATATTACAATTAAAAATCAACATAAAAGCGTATAAGATCGATTGCTTTTTGTTTTCTCCAAAGTTAAACACCTATGAACAAATATTAATACATATATTACCACAACATATTCAAAAAGAAAGGGGTGGAAGCACAGTGTATTTAGCCCCTCCCCTTTTGCTATCACACACTCATTCATTGTGTAATTAATATAATTACACAAAAAGGGGGAACCATCACCTACATAGTTTATGATAATCTTTTATTGATGGATTAGTTGTTTCAACAAATTATTTCCAACTGCTGCTCCTCCAAGGTCTGGCAGTTTGAACACTTTGTTTTTTAATGGATACCGCATGTTTTTTTCCCCCCATGGGAATCGTGGTAAAGTCACTTTAAATTTTTTTGTTTTTGGTTCCTTTCCCAGTTCTCACCACATCTGGCAAAGAATGTAAGTTCCCATTTCGTCAGGGTGGAAGGATTCATTACCACTGCATCACCATCGCCAGCTCCAAACCATGGTGAGCTCCAATCAGTCAGCTGGATCTGCTTTACCGAATACACACACACAGCCATTCATTTGCAACAGGAACCATTTAAATGAAATTTTTTTCCGAAATATTCCTCTACTTTCTATTCTGTATATGGTGCCATTTTTTAACTAGAATTATGGAGTCAGAGCTAATTACAGCTAGCTGTGTTTGGGGATTTATGCAACCGTGTCATCACACCACAGAGCTGGAACGTTTAATGAGCCAAAAGAAGAGAGACTTGGATAAATTACCTGTTGCTGAATTGTTGGCGGTGCTTCATCATGTCATCATGTATTCATTACTCTGTTTTCTCAATGGGCTTTGTTAAAAGGTAGCATAGGATAAATACAGACGCTTCCTCTAAAACTTTGATCATAGCTGAGGTTTATGTCACATTTAGTACTTCTGACATTTCATCCTGGGGGTGTATAAACAGCTGCCACAATAAAATCGTAATGAAGTTTCATTTTAATGACTTCAAGTCGTAACATCGTCCTTTTTTATTATTTTGTAAGAAACAACCCAAGACTTGCTGGAGATCTTTCCAGTTGTCGTCACTTGGAGTCGAGACAGGAAGGGTGGATGCCAACAAGTTAGAGCAACTTATACTCAATTATATATGGCCCAACAACTCGTGTCCACCTACATGTAAAGATTCTGCAATAAGACCCCACATATCTCAGCGATGAGCTCATGGGCTCAGTGTTACAGCAGGTTGGTAATTCTGTGATATGCGTTCACTGAGTCTAGCAGGTGTGTCGAAATGCTTGAGTGTTTGGCAAATAGCAAAGAATGTGTTGTGTTTTTTGCAGCAGATTGATAAATAGATTTTAATTTCAGACAAGCATAGAAAAGTAGACTAGTTTTTATCAACGGAAAGAAAATGTTGGAATCAATCCTTCACTATGTGGAAAATGCTGGAGATAATTTTACAAAGGATAATTCCCCACAAATTGAAGAGCATTATGGACAAACCTGAGCATCTCCTTTACCAGACTGCAAATAACGACTGAGTTAGCCTGATAAACCAGACTAAATGTGAGATTAAATGTGTAATTTAGTCTGGTCCTGATGAATGAGACATGGGAAGATTGTTGATGAGAGCAAGCTGTTGTTTTTCAAACCATGTCTGTTCCTATTGGCCAACGCTCTGACCAATGAGCGCAACTGACGTAGTAAGCACGACATAAAGCCTGTCGGTAAAATGGCGAATACTTCCTTCTTAAAAATGAATGAGCGTAGAGCCTGAGGTTTCAATGAAAACCTCAAGTCTAATCCTTCCAAAACTGATTCCAAAGCTGAGTCAAAAATCACCACCAGAGCCAGCGGTCCTTAACACAAGACTATGCTGAGAGAGGGCCGCTGCAGACGGGCTGCGGTTAGCCCTGGCTGCCATTAGCCTCGGAGGTTGCAGCGGCCCTTTCAACTTCAGATTTTTTTTAAATGACGCATTAAATCGGTAAATGGACCATATAGTGATGCTTTAAAATATAATATTCTCTCCTCAATTTGTCTTAAAACATACTTTTCTTGAACAACAGCGACAGAAAAGAGAACTTTTAACTTTCAATGGAACGCTCCATTGAAAGCTGCTGCTGCCACGGTGCATGCTACTGTTCAATAGTTGTTGCCATCTTCCTTGTTGTGCTTTCTCCAGTGTTGTACAGCTTTCTCATCACGGCCTCAAAATCCCTCCCGCTTTGCATCCAGAAATTCAAAACACATCTCTGCGTTGCGATTGGCCGGCCAGTTCTAGGGCCTGGGGCATTGATCGAGGCTAGAGCATTCGCAGGCAAAAATTATTTTGGCCGCTGGTGGGTGGGGCTTGTTTACTTGGCCATGACTGAGTGTCTTCAGTCAGAGACTTCCCAGATCCTCTGTAACGCCTATAAGTGTCACAAAGTTGAAGAAGAAGAGTTACCTCTTCAACCAGTTATTGGTTGTTTCACTTAACTTTTAATCTATTTTATTTCAGCCATATTGGAACATTTTTTGCTCTCGACTTTGCCCTTCAAACACTATAATTAGCCTTTTTAGACATTCAGATGGAGAGCCAAATACACAGTTCCTTCAATTTCAGCAATACATTTAAATTGAGACAATAAAGCAACCCTGCATTTACATGCCACCACCATCTTCTTAAACGTTGATTTGATTTTCTCTTTTCTAAAATGCTCCTTTGCTTTTAATGGCAGATGTAATGGGATGGCGATAAGCACAGCCTTAGTCTCACCAGTTTGAATAATATTTCCCCCAAACTATCAAAGGTATTCAGTGGGGTTTTCATTGGTCAAATAAAGGGTAGACCTTTGTTCTGTTTTTTTGGTCAGCTATAGTTTTGTATTAAAAACAGAGCGATTTAAATGTTCAATGCTGACCACAGATTAAGTGAGAGAATTTTCATCAGTGTAGACGGAGTGTCTGCATAGTTTAACATGAGATTTATTTAACATTCTAGTGAGCTTAAAGTTCCTATATATTAGCATCAGTGGCATGCCTTCTACCCTTGGAATGGAAACTTCATCAGTATGTCACAGTAGCAGTTGAATATAATGACGAAGTAAGAGCTTTATTTACTGAAAGGCAAGATTCATAGTAGAGCAGATTCAGAGCAGATTCAGGCTATACCAAGTTATTCTGCATGCTAACTTCACCTTAACTGGATTGCATTTTAATAAGGATTTAATTGCCTATAACTGTATCTCAAAGTGGCTATATACAGTAATATGGAATCAGTTGGAATCCTTTGAATTACATTGAACCTATTCAATGGATTTGAACTGGAGAGGTTTGTCAAAGTTTCTTGAGATGACGTGTTGTGATCTGGCACCAAACTGAATTAAACTGAATCATTATTTTTGGAAATGTAGCTTTATGAATATAATTAGAAGGAATGATAGAAACAAGCCTTGGTTTGATTAATGACAAAATAGCTGATGCACACAGATAACCCCTTAAAATGAACAGAAGGTGTCGTTTGAAGAGCAAGCAAACACTTTATTTTATGTCAAAGCCTCGAGGTAAATTCCTTTATTAAAAAAATAAACTGTGCTAGTGTTTCTTTGCAGTGTGTGCAAATCAGATATGGATCTGCATATTTTACCCCTCTGCATTGCTCAGCTCAACTTAAAAGAAAGTGTAGCATAAATTCGTCCTGTTTCTCTTGCTGTAGGTGCTCCCTCACACACAACTTTGATCGGGACAGACAGTGGGGCCTTTGTGCTCAGTCTGGTGGTGAGTGAACCCCACTGACAAAGCAAGTATGTTTTGATAAGAACACAGCTATGCTTGCTTCCCCTTACGACTTCTGCACTTCCTTCTTTTTAAGGCACATCCCGAAGAGGACTGGATCCCTGTCGGAAGAATCCATGTGAGAACGGAGGGGTCTGCACAGCCATCCCACAAACTGGCTCTTTTCAGTGCTCATGTCCAGAGAAGTTCACTGGGACACGCTGTGAGCAAAGTCAGTCATTATTTCTACTGCAGTTTCTTTAATGTTTAGCAAAGACCCTTTAAAATGTCATAACATAGTGGGTTAGATTTACTTGCTGGTCACACATGACCTGTTTGATTAATGTTGTATCCAAAGAAAACAAGATGATCCTTACGGTGCATTGCAAAAATAAGTATTCCTCCTCAACCCTATGAAAATTTTGTCTTCTTACAACCACAAATTTTATGTTGGGATTTTATGTGTTATAGTGACACACATTTGTGAGAAACTGTACAATGAGGGGGAAATGATTTAGACTTTCAGATATCCTCCATACATAGGAACCAGATCAGTGGTTTTAGTTGTAGACAGCCCACGGAAAATATGAACAAATCTTTGCTGAAATTGCTGCTCCAGGTCTTTCAGGGTAAATCTCTATCACACACATTTTTGCCCATTGTTCTTTGCAAAGAAAGCTCAAGGTTAGTCTGATTGGATGGAAACTGTGTTAACATCGACTTTCTCAATCGAATTAATAAAATTCTCATTTGTATTGTTTTTTTGGGCTTTGATTCTACCATTTTTTTAATGAAAATAGGATTTGATGGAAGTTATTTCTTTCGTACTGGAGGCCTCGGGCAGATTTTCTTCCAGGAGTTTCTGTGTTTATCAGCTATACTCCTATCCTTCTGAAGAAAAGCCTTCCCACAGCATTATACTGCCAATAGCATGTTTCACTGTGGGCTTGTTTGGGTCATGGTGCAATGTTTACAACACATATTTTCTGAATAGAGAGGAACTAATAATTTTGGTCTCTTTTCACCAGAGAACCAAACAGAACTGCCATTTTTTTAAGCTATAGCTTTCGTTATTATTATTCTTGATTCAAGACCAGATTTGTTTTGCCTGAGCTGCTGGTCTTTGCAACTCCTCCAGAGTTACCATGGGGCTCCAAGAAGCTGCTTTTAATGATGATCTCCTTGTCTTGCAAATAGGTTTATGTTGAAAACTGGTACAAAACAATTGGAGTCTATTCACTGATTTGCTAGCTGGGAACTGATTTTATTTTTTAGAGTGTAGGGTAAAGCAGCTAATCAGCAAATAAAATTCTCCCTTTGAAGATTTTTATGTACAAAAAATATAAAAACACGTCTTCTTTCTGCTTCAAAGTATTACTATACTTTGTGTTGTTCTATCATATAAAAGCCCATAAAATAATTGGAATTTTGGGTTATTATATGGAAAAGGTTCAAGAGGAATAAAAATACTTCATTATGTACAATGAAATGTTCCTATAATGTTGCTTTTGTTCATGAGAAATTGGATTAGTTCCAAGTCACACTTGCATTAATAACTAAAGGAAAAGATTTACAGGCATTTTGCAGAGCCCATCCCTCAGAGAACTGCTCGCTGCGCTCCACTGAGCCCTTTAATCTCCTCTCACGTTTCCACCCGCTTCCTTTCAGAGAAGTGCTATGAAGCCGCGCACCTGCGGCATTATGACATCGGAGAGTCTTGGGGAAGAATTCACCTTCGTAATGTGGAACAGTGCACATGTGAAGCCGGAGAAATCAGCTGTCAAAGAGTCCACTACAGGAGTAAGATATGCTTTCTGCTTTTGTTGCTTGTGCCTTAACAGTGTCCCATTTGTGCCCTGCTACGGGAGGTTACAGTGGCCTAGGCAGTGATTTTCTGTGCCGGCACCTTTAAACCACCTAAACGTACAAAGCTTTTTAAATAAAAACTACGATAAATGAACCTGTCAAAAGAACAACTGCTAGAAGCTACCGCTCTGACTGACAGGTGTTAAAAGGATCGCATTCCCCATCTAAACTTTTGTTTTGTTTTATTCTTTCTCAAACAACCTCTGAGCAGAAGCGATTATTGAGTACTGGCCCTTCCCTTTCTTTGATCACAGCTCCATAGCTACAGGAGTAGCCTTGCCTTTGAATAAAAGGCATATTATATGACTCACAGTGAGTCAGGGTGGGTGTTATGTAGGACACACCCCGCGGGTCCTCACCAAGCTTTTTAACTCAGCGGTGAGAGGTTCATGGGAATTGGATAGATTTTTATCATGAGGGAGAGATCAGCAGTGGAACATACTTCGCCCATGTGAAACAGATTTTTCCTCACTATGGTATGGGTTTAAATTACACCAGTAATGCCAAAAAAAACAAGAGAAATCTACAAAACTGTATCAAGTTAACAGCTGAATGACAGTAACAAATTGATTTGCAGAGATAAGAGTTACCAAATTCAATGGAGAAGCAAGCAGGTTGAAGACATTTTTAAAATTCTAAACTTCAAATGAAATATAGGAGCTTAACAGATTTTGGTTGTAAACCACCTTAAAGGTATAGTGGAGGATTTTCGTGAATTTAAGAGATCACTTAAAAAAAAGCATATGCACAACCCTGTACCCACCTCTGAGGGGGAACACCTATTAAACGCGTGTGAGAGCATGCACAAGCCCATTTTTCCTCATGCGCGCTCTGTTTAAAAGTTGCTTTTTGCATTGCTCATACAAGCTTACTTTCCAAAAGATTTGCAATTATTTTTTTTAACTGGAAAAACCACATCCTCCACTATATGTAATGAGCTCAGAATGTAGGACCCAATATTCAAGGCGAGGCAGACAGTGGGAAAATTCAAAGGCGTTTATTTAAAAACATAATAGACGCGGTACTGTGGATCTGCAGTGGCTTTGGGGGGAGGTGGGACACCGCCCATCACTGGCAACTCTGGTTTAACAGTTCAGTCCAACACCTTAGAGCATGGTAGGATCTAGCCGACAGACAACATATTCTCATTATCAGTTCGTATGAAATCGTACGAAAAGTTATGCACAGTATTTCGTACGTTTTTGACGTTTTTCCTCGAAAAAACAGATCAGTGCGCATGCGCAGCCAGACAGACGAAAAAAGCAGATCTGCAGACGGACGTAAAACTGGGAAAAACAGTGCAATAATTACTTCTTTATGTCTCTCACTAGGTTGCTTGTTGTTTTGTATCTTAGGGTTAGGGTCAGGGTTAGGGTTAATTGTTTGTTAGATTCTATGTTATTGAATGGTGCGTAAGATGCGCATGCGCAAGGATATCTTGTCTCGAGGCAAGACGTACAAATACGACGAAATACGACGGAAAAAATGTCAAAAACGTACGAAATTACTATGCATAACTTTTCGTACGATTTCATACGAACTGATAATGAGAATACACTGCGACAGACTGCCAACGAGATGCTGCGGACTCCGGCAAGAGTGAAACCACATGTAGCAGCCCCAGTGAACAGGCAGGAGTCCGAGCCAGGTCAGGTAAACGGTTCAGGAGGGTTCTAATATCCAGGAGTCCGTTGCCCAGTCAGGGGTTCTGATCAGAACAGGAGCAGACAGATCAAGGGGACCAGGAATCCACAGAGTTCAGGCAGGTTCAAGATTCCAAGACTCCAACAGAGAGTTCAGGCAAAACGTTCAGATGGGAACAGGTAAGCTCAGTAGTTGAGAGGCAGAACAAGGCATGATAACAGGAAAACCATGGTACTTTAAGACTAGCTCCCTCTATTGAGCAAAAGCAGGAACAGGGCACACTCAGTGGATAAGAGACAGGACATGATCAGGAATACTATGACAAAACTAAAAAAACGCTCTCACCACTGGCCTCCAAGAACAAGAAAATTAAAGTCAAAACTCAGAAACAATGATCTTCAGGTCATCTCAGCAACAACGTCAATGATCTGGCCCCGATAGCTGGGCTGAGCCCCATATAAAGCGGCAGGAGCAGGTGGATAAGATGAGTGATAATTGATAATCGGGCAGAGTTAGACAGGTGAATGAAATGAACAATTAGGTCAACTATCAGTGTGGGGTTAGACATTATACCTTTAATTAAAGTGATGTTGAAAAAAATCTTGCAATAGTTGAATTAAATGCTAAGAATATCAATAGAAAAGTTAAACTAACATTTTATATTTTAATTACACATGTTTAAAGCCTTAATTTATGTTAGGTTTGATGAGTGAGGCTACTCAAACTAATAAAAACCCTAAAATATTTTAATTAGAATTATTAGGAGGCACTCCTAAATTAGAGAAATATCCAGATATGTTTTACTTGAACTGAAGGCCTGCACATACAGTGCAAGAATCACTGGCATCATTTTTTTTTGTTGACTCATGGTGACAAGAAGAGAATCCAAGTTCCTTTGGGCCATTGCATATTGTTAAATTTATTAATTCTTGGGTAGCAAGGGAAATAACATTGTCTTCTGGTCTCTATGAAACACCTCTTCCGCAGATTCCTCACTAGTAAAAATTGTAGTCAAGCTGTGAAACTCCCAAAGCAGGGCCCCGAGAACACAATGAGGTCACCCTCTTTTCTCCAGCTGTGGGAGTGAGAGACCTTCCAGAGTCTGTTTAGAGCTTAAGCAGAAAACGACTAAACTGTTGCTTAGTGGTTCAAAGTCCTCTGGAATTTATTTGGGAATCATTTCCTTTTTCATTTCTTAAAAAAAAAAAAAAATCTGATAGCATTTCTTATGTTGTGTTTTTCAGTGTGCCGCAGAAACCCTTGCAAAAATCAAGGAACATGTCGGCTGATTACATCCACCGGGAAGGAAGTGTGTTTCTGCAAAATGGGGTACAGTGGGCCTGACTGCAGCCTTGGTAGGTGATCTTTACAGGTCTATTGAGGAAATGGCTTTAAAATAAAACACTGAAGAAGAAATACATGCTTTTACATTATCCAATGAAAACATACCACCTGTTTGCATCTAGATTGAAAGACCAGAATATTTTCTTTTTTATGGATGCATTTACATCTGATTTTATGTACCTCCACATTGAATTTGCTTTGTGTGTCTCTTCCTGTGCTTTATGATTGCAAAGTGCCAGAGACTGAATGCTACAAAAGCAGGGGCATGGGCTACAGAGGAGTGGTGGGCACCACAGAGTCCGGAGCCAGATGTCTGCCATGGAACTCTGACCTGCTCTTTGATGAGCTCCATGTGGGCGTGGTAAATGCGTCAGCCCCCAAAGGTCTTGGGGATCATGCCTTCTGCAGGTGTGTGCATCCACGATCCACCTCTACCGTTGTTGCATCCAAAATGCTGTCGTAGTTCTCATAAATTATGTCTTAAACCAGAAATAACCAGTGTTATTTAAAATCCTAATGTAAAAAAAAAGCTGTTTCCTTCTTATCACCACATAGCAACCGTTGTCATTCGCTCGGCACCTATCCAGTCGGCAAGCATTAAACCACCAAGTGTGCCCAGCAAGCACATGGAGAAAATGCTCTTTTAAATGACACAGTAGCTTTGTGTCTGGTTTCCACAGTTTTTATTGAGCTTTTCTTGTTGCCATAACGACCTAGCAGCCATATGATGCACCCCATGAAATGCTGTGTGTTAGAAAATAATCTCGATCTATCTATCTGTCTATCTTAGACAGACAATTACAAGCAGATCTCAGGTTTGTAGAATGAGTAGAATACACATTTTAGCTCTATTTTGATTACAGGAAAGGATAATCTTCTCTAAGATGTAAAATACTGTTTTTAAAAAATATGTTTTTATGCTAAAAACTGACATGAGAGGATTGGCTGCTGTGTTGTATAAAGCATTGCATCTGTGTGTGCACAGAAACCCAGATGGGGACAGTAAGCCATGGTGCTACACGGTAACTGACAGCGCCATCTCCTGGGAGTACTGCAACGTCCCCTCCTGTGTGATGTCATTCTGTGAGTAACTGAGAGGTTAAGAGGGAGTTAGATGAACTACAGAATGGAGCATCAATGCTAAGCCTGTACAATAACATGCTGTGAAACAGAGGTTTAAAAAGACACTTTCCATGGATAGAAAAAGGCAAAAACAGAAAAATGATAGTAAAGCTAAATAATACAAAATTAATACATTTTACCCTTCCTGAGAGTAAAACGTAAGCTCTCTGAATGACTGGTATAATTAAAAATATGTTTGGAATATGATGATGTTTTGTCAAGAGACCATTGCTAAATGTTCAATATCGTTCAGATCAAAAATGTCAGGGTGGTTCTATAATGCACTAAAAAAATTTCCATACCCCCCAAAATATGAAAATAAGTATATCTGGGTATTTAGTCTGTTGGTAACTTGAATTACCAAACTCCTAAAAACTAAGGATGAACCATATTTAGCACAAGGAAAATTATTTATTCCCACCGATCCATTTTCTGCATTCATGTTCAGCAGACATTGGGCAGGATTGTTAAATTTGACCAAAGTTTAGTGTCAGTTAACCTTAGATGCTGCAGGCACAAAAAACTAGAACACTGACCAATCAAAAAAAAAAATACTCAGTTGATTTACAGAGACCAATAATGATGTAAAACAACCCTTGGAAGGCTAGGATTGTTGTTTTATTCATCCAGCTATGGCATCATTACAAAATATGTTTGCTTTTATCTCATGAAGTTTTATGTTCAGAATGAGGCAAACATCCTGTGAGTTAAATCAACTTTGACAATCATCCCTAATATTTCATAACTTCTTTTCAAAAATGTCTTAAATTGAACCAACTATTAATATTGTCATCCCAGAGTAATTGATGCAAGGTTTCTTCAGTTCCCCATGTGTCGTAACTCTCTCGGCCTTGATTTATCCTCACAGTTACATTTTGTCATTTGAAAATAATTCAGCGCTTCATTCTACGTCCAGACATTTTTATTTAAAGACCTTGGCGTTTGTGAATAAAAAAAATAAGAAGGAAAGCTCGGGGGAATGCTGCTTATCACTGCTGAGTCAAGCTGCTCTCAGAATCAGAGTTTATCTAAGGAGCTTTTCTCAACCTGGGCTCAGTGAGATACCGTTGGGCAGAATAAGGCATGACTCACCCTGAATCAGCACTCATGCCAGGTGCAGCTGCATGTTTATGCGCCGAGCAGGATCTGGCACAGTGTGCTCTCTGTCACGATGCCAAGGGTATGCACAGAATTCACAAGAATCTCCCATCTGCTGAGCGCTCTTCAGCATACGATTTGCATTGAGAGGAGGCTGCGCTATCCAAACACCATTGAATTAAAGAGACACTTATGGGATTCTTGTAACAAGAAGAAGGATAGCAGCATTACTAAAATTATTAAACACTTTCAGTGCTGTTAAAGGGATTGCCACTAACGGATTTCTTCTTTTTAAATTTTGGATTATCAAACTATTAAATACAACCTAAATTAATATGGAAGGTTTTGGTTTATATGGAAACATCATTTCAATATTGTTACACAGTATTGGAGCCAAAAATTAGGGAAAGGATTTGTTTGTATGAGCTTGTGTGAGCGATGCAAACAGCAACTTTTAAACAGAGCGTGCACGATGACAAATGGGCTCATGCACGCTCTTGCACGCGTTTCATAAGGATTCCCTCTCGGAGTGGGTACAGGTTTGTGCTATTTTAAAGCGCAGAGGGCTAGTTTTTTCAAAAATTTGCAAAATCCTCCTCTATACCTTTTATTTTCACCTTTATCTTTTTTTTCCCCAGCCTCTTCTCGAAGGATAATCCCATTGAACGCTCTGCCCCACATCAAGAAACCTGCCTCTTCGAAGCCGGCCAAAAAACCTGTGTGCGGGGTAAAACACAAGAAGAGGTTAGCGGTAGCAAGGGGTCGGATTTTCGGAGGAAACGCAGCCCTGCCAGGCACTCATCCATGGATGGCAGCCATTTATATCGGACAGTCAGACTTCTGCGGTGGCAGTCTAATCTCTTCCTGCTGGGTCCTTTCCGCCGCTCATTGCTTCTTCAGCAAGTATGCAACACGGTTAGGTGACATGGTATACTGAGCATAATCTGCAAAATATTGTAAATAATTTCTTAAATAAATGTGAAAACCTGTAACTAACAAAGGGGAGCATCATGGTCTCCAAAGTTTTTTTTTTTTTTAGCATTGCAGTTAGCGTAAGAGAATTATTAGTACATAGTAAAGTAAAGTAAAGTAAAGCGAGTAAAGTCCTAAAGCCTCGAGATACTTCCATCTACTTTTTAAACAGACAAATGGTAAATTTAGGCAAATTAATTAAATTTCTGTGACGGTTAAACACAATTTATTCTGTCCAAAAGTTATCTAATCGGCTTGGCTTCATTAAAGAGTTTCATAAAAGCAGATTTTACAACGACGTCACCCTCAGTTGGCTTCTGATGCTTGAAAGACAAGCAAGAGGGAAATTACTTTAGGGAAGCCAAAATTATGATTCACCACTTTTTAAGTTTCATAGGATACATTTTGCTTGCAGTTCACTCATGGGTTTTGTTTTTTAGAGACTCATGAAAGTCAGTAAAAATTTTTTGTCATCATCCTGCTAAATCCACCCATTTATGATATATTTATTTCTAGACTTTTTCTATCCCTGGATACCATGGATACATGCATTTCTCTTTTTTTGCAGGGCTGAATTATTTCTTACAGCTTTTGTTTTCAATTGTTTCTCTGTTTTTCTGCAAGTATAAATCCTAGTTTTATTTGTGAACAAAGGAGGAAAAATAATGGTTTGCTTGAAGTTTTTTTTCTAATTGGAGAAAATGACAGAACATTCCTGGCAGATTTGGCTTTTTTCATTTTGACAATAACATCTCCTACTTTATTGTGACCATCCTTTGTTATTTACAGCTGATTTATACTGAGTTTCCTCCCACAGCCCGCTTGCGTCTCAGCTTAAAGTTGTTCTCGGCCAGCATCACTTTAACGTCACCGGTCCCAACACGAAGGAATTTGAGGTAGAGGACTATCACTACCCTAAAGAGTTCTCTGTCTTCAATCCGACGCTACATGACATCGGTAAGCAGGAGTTAATAGTTTCCTGGAAGAGCGCTTCCATCTGCTGAACACTAATCAAATAGAATGGAAGAAATACAGTAAATAATGTATTGTGATGTAAAAAGTTTCTCCAAGTAAACTGCNAAAGAAATAGGAAACTTGTTAAGTTGCAGCTGACAGACTACCCTCCCCTTAACCTTTCTCTCTAATGAGGCCCTGGATACCTGCCCATATGGACTAAACAGCCTCACCAGGAAGAATTTAGTTAAAAAACTGGAATGAGTTAAGATCCTTTATGCGTCACGGAGCAGCTGTGTCCCTGTGCTCTTTACAGCCAAGCATGGACAACTTATGAGACAGCGGAGTCTTCAAGAATACCACTTAGTTTCTTTTTTTCTTCCTTCCAGTTCTAATCAAGCTGAAAAAGAAGGACGGTCGGTGCGTGAGGAGAACCCCGTTCATTAGGCCCATCTGCCTCCCAGAGAAAAGCATGAAGTTCCCTCCAGGCTACTGCTGCTCCATCAGCGGATGGGGACATACAAAAGAAAGTGAGTCAAATTGCTTCTCAAAGGAGTTTTTTTTACTTCATGAACTTACAGAAACATTTCTTTTTTTATCTGTTACACCTTTAATGATTTATTTGTTGCTTTTGATTTTAGAGGCAAATGGCTACTCCACTCTGCAGGAAGCAGGAGTCAGACTTGTTTCTCATGACGTCTGCAAGAAGCCGCAGGTTTACGGAAACCATGTCACCGACGACATGATCTGTGCAGGGCTCAGTGGATGCGTGGATGCATGCCAGGTAGGGAACGCATTCAAAACGACATTTCTAAAACAAACTATATATTTTAGAATGCGATATTTATGTACATTAACAAGCTTCAGTTGGTTATAAAATAGGTATGCTATTCAACAAAAACAAAAATGTACAATGTAGTAAAATTGAACACGGGTCACACTATTCTATTTAAGAAAAAATCGAAACAATCCGATTAGCGAAACAATTTCTTGGTAAAAAGATAAAAGTATACGGCCTAAGTGACTTAGCATAACACTGAAGAAGGAAAGTATGATGTGTTGGAAAAGCACCCAGTGATAAATCAGTGTTGTGAGACCAAGGAGCTTCATTTGATCAGAGCTGCTTGTGATCAATGTGGATTAAGCCTTCCTTCCTAGAAATAAACAACAATTCACTGCTTTGCAATGCCTTTAATTTCAGCGAGGGCCTTCAGCTTAGGAATGTTGTCATTAGCCACAGTAACATGGACATAATTAATCAGAATGCAGGGATGAAATTGTCCCGATACTATTTCAAAATCGTTATCAATCCCCAGGAAAATATTCAATACTCAATGCCAATTTTGATACCATGTAAGTAAAAAAAGAATATATAATTAATAATTAATTATTATAGTTTAATAAAATATATTTTTATTAAAGTGAAAAGCTCAACTTTTTCAATCTCAATATAGAAAATGCTTTTTTTAAACAAAAGAATGACTGATGCTTGGTAAATAAAGTGCAAAACCATGCAAAATCAGTCAAATGTAAAATTAACAATAGCAAAAATACCCAAACATCACTCGTTTTTAGTAGCGATACCTTGTCATATTAGAATTGTGCGTATTTTTGACAATCCTACCAGAATAAATGGCTGATCAGATTAAAATTGGTTTGTTTAAACATGCCAGTAGGAATATTCTGATCCCATTCTGCAGGATTGGAATGACATGGTAGTCCGACTGAAATGCCTGGTTTCTGCCTGTTGACGATATGAACGCCATGCATGTACAGTAAACTCTTAACAGCATAAAGTTTTTCTGAGGGAGCCAAGCTGACCTAAGTGCGCTTTTGCACCCCTCCTCAACGTGACGTATTTCCCCTTTGAGAAGCTCTGACTTGCATGTTTACATGACACACAATTTTAGTCTGATCTGCCTTTTCACTCTAATTATGTACGTATAAATGGTCAAATCAGATAATTTTTTGATTTTCAGTCAGTATCACATTGCTTATAACTGTTCTGCGCAGCATTAAGTAGAACTTTTTAAAGTTTACACCACTTTTTGAAGTTTATTGAAGTGGAGGTTTAGTTTGCATATCACCATGAAGCTTAAAACCCAGAGTTAATCTAAACAATGTGAAAAAAAGGCTAATTTCCATTGAGATGTTGTTTTAGAGAAACTTAACAATTCTCTAGGTGCACGTTTCTTTGTTGAAATATTAAATCGTTCATGAGATTTATCTGGGAAATGGATAAATTTCTTCCTGCCTGCCGCTACTATTTTGTTTAAATGAATTAAATGCTGGAAGTGAAGTTAAAACATGATCAACTCTGATTCACTCCAGGTTTGACATACTGCTTTGGTTTAACGTCATTATTTACAAGAAAACATATTTTCTGTTTAAACGTAGTAGAGCAGTACATGAGCTGACTGCAGGGACTTCCCTATGAGAAGCGGAAGTTTGGCGATGTTGAGGGACACTGAACATCTAAACGCCGTCCTTTCCCAGTGACTCTCGCAGCGGATTGTTTACCTCATTGGCAGAGAGCAATTTTTAGATGTGCATCAGGTTTCAAGTGTGTGACTCAGCTGTTTGCATGTGTGCGCTTTGATCCCTACATGTATGTTTACGCCTGTGAGATGTGTCTACTGACGTGTTTTCTCAGGGAGACTCTGGGGGCCCACTGGCCTGTGCGAAGGGTGACGTCAGCTTCCTGTACGGGATCATCAGCTGGGGCGAGGGCTGCGACAAGCCGGGAAAACCTGGAGTTTACACAAAAGTGGTCAATTACCTCGACTGGATCCATTCAGCAATGAAACGTAAAAAAAGGACTTTATGACCGTTAATTACCTGGAAATTATCTGTGATACTGTGTAGTTTATACATATTTTACGTGTTATATATTTTCCTACTGTTTTTGGAAGTATATGAGAAATATATATTTTTAACTGTGAAATATTTTGTGACTGATTAAACTTTTAATGACTTGACAAAATGTGTTTTTAGGACCAATAAAAGGTGCTTTAAACAAAACAACATCAACGCTTGTTTTAATCAGCACAATGAGATGGATTTAAGATGCTTTGGATCCATTTTCTTAAGGATTTCTCATTCTTTTTAAAGCCATTGATTGGAATTTGCTAAAGTTTTTTGTTAAATCCCTAAAAATTTTATTATGATTACATATATTGGAAACTTAAAATGTCCAGCCGATGGGAGGTGAAGTTATATATTAAGGAAATTAGAAATTTGCAATTTCTATAATTGAGCTTTTGAGATGCTATGTGTTCCCATAGTCTGGGGTTCTCATTTGATGTAGATATACATGTGATGGAGATACACATTAAGCCAAGTACCTGATTCCTGACTTGTTTGAGATCTTCTTATGAATGATGCCCTGGGTAGACGTCTCCTTTTGAAGTCATCCAACCAATCAAAATGCTTGAAATAGTACTAAAAACCCCTTTGACCGCCTGCTGTCGCACACTAAAGATGCGTGGTTACTGTATATTTTTCATTTTAAAAATGAGTTACAATTAGATTTCAAATATTTTTTATTAGCTTGACATTTAACTGGCTATTTGCAGTGCACAGGTTTAGTTAACTTTTTTTGTTTATTATATTTTAGTTAAATTGCGATTGATTCGATTTTTGTATGAGTTGCCAGTTTCCTTTGGAGCTGCTGCTAGAAGGCTACAATGAGCTCCAGCTTTCATCTCCTTATATGGTCTCAGCCTAATCAGCGGGTCATACCACTTGTTGTAATGCCAGGGTACATTTGTTTATCAAGTGTTTAGATATTTTTTGTTTTGAATAGTTTTGTAAAAAAAAAAATCAATTTAAAAAGTGCTTGTCTGGCAAGTATTTGTCTGTTTAATTCAGTTTTCTTGTTTGTTAGTTTAATAGTCAGTTATCCCCCTAGTCAACAGTGGTCTGATCAGCCACTGTTTAAGTTTCCATCATGTCGTGTATAAAAGGTCAGTTTGTGCTTCAGTTTTTTGTGTTAGTACCTGAACTTGAGTCTGTTTCATGGAGCCTAGGCGGAAGTTCAACTGAATAAACGATGCCCGCCAACGTCACAAGCCAATCAGTTCTGAACCACACCTCCACGAAAGCCAATCAGCATCCTTTGCTCATCTTAAAAAGTCGCCAAATCCCCATCTCAGTCTACTATCCAAAGCCTTGGCAGTGGTTGCACCATGTCGGACTTTGACTCAGATGACCCGATTCACCCACCTTCAGCCCCTTCTCCACCATCGTAGCTAAAGCTTCATCAGAGGGTCATTCCTTCTGGACTCTTGCTACATTCCCTGTCTCATCTCAACCGGTCGGCTAGAAGACCGCCATGTTGAGCCTGGTTCTGCCAGAGGTTTCTTCCCAACGGGGAGTTTTTCCTCTCCACTGTCGCTCCATGCTTGCTCATCATGGAGAGGTTCATGCAACCAGTGTTGAGAAACCAAGCTGGATTCTTGCAGTTCCCAGAGTGAAGCACTAGTACCAACTCATGCAGTCCACTGGATCTCTGCATACAGCAGTCACAGACTGACCAACTTCATCCATCTTCACACCAGTTTCAGGCCTCTGGGAAACATCCCTACTCTTACTCCTGTTTATGCATATCAAGGCAAAATAAATTCAACTCTAAAGTTTCCTGCCGGGGTCTGAGCCCCAAAGACTAAAGTAAATGTATCAATAAAACTCTTCTAATTGTATTTCTTTTGTGTGAGTTTTTCAGATTGAAATGACCTCTGTTTTTGGCCCCAGTTTATCATCTTTGAACACTTTTTTGGAGATAAATTCAGACCTATTTTGTTATTATTCAGTGGATTTCTGGCTGGTTTATGCAAATCCAACCCTCGCAACCCTCTTTAGCTGGAAAAAAAAGGTGGTAGGGCTTTATATTAATGTTGACTTTTTTTTGCCTTCTCTGTACATTCTTGTAAATACTAATACTAAAGACAATTCATAAGTCTACACCAGGGTTCATAAACTCTGCTCCTATGGAACCACTGCCCTACAGGTCAGTGGGTTCTGTGTCCACATCCAGTCACTGAATGATTAATGGAGAGTGGATAGACAGAAAAGTTACCTCAAGTTACCTCTGGTGAATTTATGTTCTATTTGACTGTGCCTCTGCAGTTCTCGCTTCGCTCTACTCACTCTGCCATTTAAGCTCATGGTTTTGGCTTTAAATGAGGATAACATGTAAATCATTCGCTCCATGTTCACATTCAGAGTGAATGCACCTTAAAGCTCCCAAAGTCATATAGTCAAGCCACAATTAACCCAGGCTCCATTATGTGTCAATCTCTACCACATCTAAACAACATTTCAAACAACCTTCATGACAGACGGATGAAGATGCATGAAGACGGATGAAGCTAAACATGTTTTAGTAAAGAAAACAACTTGAGACTTGCACTGAGATTCTCCTTCCATCAGGATAAATAATCGTTTAGATCAGAGACTCCCAAACTTTTCAGCTTCTGACCCACAAATGGGTACCAGAGTCAAACCATGACCCAAACCATTGGTTGATTATACCAACGTTTCTACATGGTATTGCAAACCACATCAACGACCAAAGCAGCTGATTTTATCCATTTCTAAAGTCTGCTAATATATCTTTTTGATCTTTAACATAAATATTTACTGTATCAAAATCAGCTCTGTTGACATGCTATGTTTTTTAATCATGTGGTTGGCTGTAGTCACCCAATTTTCCCAGCAGTAGCAGGTGGTTCCACCCAGTCCAGGTGGCACCCTGGCTGTTAGTGCCCTGAAGGACGGATAGACAGACACAGGGCCCCGGTCATGGCATTTCTTCCCCCATGTGCCCTCCTTGCTGTGGCTGCAGGGGTGGGGGCAGAGCGAGCAGAGCAGCTATTTTGAAAGTGACCCCTCATTCAGGCAGCGACTGTGCAGCTGTCAGGAACCATGACTGAAGATGACGGATTCTGTTGTCGTGGAGGGATACGCCAGACTGAGAGATGGGAAAAAGGTGCTTCCCTTATTGTCTTTATTCGCTCTGTGGGGAATAAACTCAATAACTTCTGCGCAAGCATAAAACTTTGTTTTGTTTCCCTCTCACAGTGGAAGACTAGGTGGCTCGTTTTTCGCAAGCCGTCGCCTGTAGCAGGTAAGAAAATATGGATTTAGAGTATTTTCCACATCAGTGCGCAGCTTGGTTTGCACCATGATGGAAGAGCATTAATCTGGGGTTAAGTATATATTTTCAGCTTTAAGTTGAACCTTTTCTTGTTGTTGTCAAATGTAAACTTTTTAAATAAATGGTGCTCTCATAACGTCACAAATATCTACTATTTGTTTATGTGCGGCCAAGAAGTCCTCAGCTGGAAGGTGGAGGGAGGATGATGGTTTGGGCGCATTAAAGCTGAGAATATCCATCTGTATTTGGGTTTAAATCATTTAACAAGTCTACATTTTATGAGCTAAACATATTTTTTGTATTCTAAGATCAAATTAAAACTGAATTAGAATAAATTGTTTATTTCAGTAGATGCTTTGACTTTGTGTTTTTTCATTATTTAACCGAATCGTGCAACTTATTTTCAAAACGGTGCTCATTTTAGTTTTAGTTTTTTGACCTTCTTGCAAATATAAACATGAAGGTTCCTGGTTCAAATCCTCACTTATTTTGAGTTCAAATGATCTTCCCATTGATCCCAGGGTTCAAGTACTCTGGCTTTTTCCCATAGTCAGGTTATTCAGTCTTTCTAGGTTCTCTTTATGGATGACTGTAGATGAACAATGTATGGAGTAAAGGGAAATCTTACAAACAGTTTGATGAAATAATATGAATGTTTGTCTGACATTTGAACAAATTAGTAAAAATACAAATGACCCCTGACTCTTAAAGGTTTCAAATTTAAACTTATCAAAATGAATATATGGAAGTTTAATTGGTCTGGTAGAGAAACGGGGGCTGGGTGGGGGGTCTTAACATGCTCCACAGGTTGGATCAGGGCTGGGTGCTGCTCCTCCTCAGATCTTTGATGTCAGTGTTGATACAGCTGTCTTCACTAATGCTCAGTGTTCCTCAGTGTGTGCCTGTGTGAGTGCGTATTTAAAGGACATCAATAAGTGGACACCCTGTTGTTTAGTCAGCTGACACTGATTGGTTGAGAGGTGTCAACAGGTTGGAGGACACGCCGACAGCTACTGTAGGTCATAATGTAGAGTCAAAGATAAATAAAGTCAGCACATGAAACCTTTTTAATCATAGAAACATGCCAGTATTTCACAAAATGGGTTCAAACTACATGTCTTGTATGTGAAAACAATTTGGCTCTTCTTGCTGATCAAGTAAAGAAGCATTTCTGTTAAAGCCAAATATGTTTAACAGTATCAGACATAGCGGAAACATATCTAGGAAATGTAGAAGTTGTCCTTTAAAGGTTAGAAATATTTACAGAGGGCAAACGCTCAAGCTAGACCAGCTTTTGAACTCAGTAAGGTCTTCATCAGTTTGCTAGAGTTTACCACGGGGCATTTAGAAAGCAAAAGCTGACATAAATGTGGTAAAAAGTTTTAGGAGAATCCTTAATGAGAAAAACCAATTACTGTGGTTCCATCTCACACAATTCTTTCAATTTCTAAAATGCTTGTCGGTAGTTAGTCAAGTCTGTGGTCTTTATTTTCTGCAGACATTGATTATTTTGGGTTAGTTGACAAATTTTATTGAATATTTTGTCATTTTCTATCATGCAATGATTCAGTTCTGTTTTATACCATGAACCTGTGAAGGACTGCATATGAAGAAAAGCCCTTTTTTGGCTAAACAGGCATATTTCTTTGAAAGTCTGGAGTCTGTATTTAGCTTGTATTGCAATGTACCTTTTCTACAAAGTAATGCATCTCCCAGTTTGTGTAGGATATAAAATATGGTGGCAGAAGGTTGCTGGTTTGAGTCCAATCTGTGTGCCCTGATGTCCAAAGTTCAATATGATGTAATCGATCTCCTATCAATTAGTGTTTTAGTCAATAATGATTGTACTTGGTAAAGACGCGGTCAGGATCCGTACTCACCTGGTGGCTACCCGGACCCAACCTGATTGAAAACATTTATAAGTCAGACGACAGTGTCTAACTTCACTTGCGCCGCTTCTCCTGTTAATATGGTAAAGACTTCCAGAGCCCCCAGGAACCAGGCTACATGTGATATAAATGAGCCAAAGAGCTTTGTCAGTCTGGGTGGTGAGCCACTTTTAGACACAGAAGGCAAACCTGTGGCAAGCCGGGCGATGGGGAAAAAAGGAGAATATGATGAGAAAAAGCGAGCAGAGAAAGTGTGGACTAATGGAAGAACTGCAGTGAACTGGTGAAAGAAAAGTGTAATGGCGTGCTCAAAGATGACCCTGCACATTTTGATTATGTTTGACTCAACCTACTGCTGTGAAGCAAAATTCTCAACCATTAACATAATCAAAAATAAATATTGATAGGCTCATGAATGAGCACCTTGATAGGTGCTTGAGAAAGGCTTTGTCGCCACTTCACTTTCACTTTTTAATATATAATCCCTACATTTCACTGAGACCTATATAATTGATTATATAGTGATTAAATATCTTCTGTATTTATAATAATACATTTATTATACATTTAGATAATTCTTTCATAATTTATATATTAAATCTTTTTAAATTGTGGAACTCGTCATCCTCCATAGACGTCCATTTGCAGATTATGCCTTGATATCATTTGAACTGATGGACAATCCAGTTTTAGGTGGTAATTGTATGAAAGGAGGAATCTGACTTGTTGAGGTCTAAAGTTTGCTTCCTAATATCTTGTCATACAAGAGAACCCTCTTTGAGGTGTTGCCTTAAATATATGTGGGGTGTCCTATTTGTTTAACTCAAATCTTTGGGATTTGGGACAGAAGCTTTCCAAGCCATGGCATCATCATGCCACCTTAGTCTCTCTCTCTCTCTCTCTCTCCCTCTCTCTTTCTTCTGGTATTTAACAGACATTTATTTAACAATATATAATATTTAAAATTTTAACTAAACTGGAAAGGTTTTTTCTGTTTTTATTTCATGCAGTGTATTAACTGTGCTGGTTTTCTCTGCATTAAACTAAAATAATTCATTTTTATTCATCTTTAATATGTAAGCAAGGTAACTAAGTTGTATGTACCCCTAATTTTTATATTTACAATAAAACAAGGAATCAAGTTTTGTCCCCTATCTTGTTTGAAACTCTTCTTTTCCTTCTCTTCCAGACTGCCTTGTGTTATTGGTTTTTAAAGACAAATCAGACAAAGCCCAGGGCAACAAAGAGAAGGGGATTGTCACGTTGGAGCAGATCTGCGGCCTAGAACTTGGACAGTGGTATGAAGGGGTTTCTTTTACTCTGGCCATCCTCTGCCTGAACCAGGCTGCTCTGCTTGGCTTTGACAGCAGGGAGACCCTGCAGGCCTGGGAGCTCCGTCTGCGATACAGCCTCGGAGAGGGTGAGAACTACCTCCAAATTTCCTCTGAGCTGATAACCAACATTCACACTTTGAACATGATCAGCTGTTAAACCTTTGACTCAGGATCCTCTGATTAGGCTTTTCCTGTCTTTTTCCAAATTTTGCTTATCTTTTTTTTATTTGCTAAAGACACAACAAAAGCAAATACAAGAACATGTATTAGGAAGTGTGCTGTGTTTCCATTAAGTTAGCTTGATTTAAAAGAGGTTAATCAAAGTTTACTTGTTGTTGGTTCATGTGTTTATAGACTGAAAATTCCATCAATTCTTAGTTTTGATTGGTTAAAGAATAGGAATGAAATGTTCAAATGTTTCAGTATTTGCTGCTGCTAAATTATTTGGCCAGTTGACATCTCTGTAGCTCAGTTCTTTACATTCTTTACTCTTTTACCTTTAAGAGACATTTTGTACATTTTTACTGTAAAATATCTATAAAACTGCCTGTTTATTTGACCATCTACGACAAAAAACATAATTTGTTGAGCAGACAGTAGTTCAGCACCAATGCATCCTGCATGTACTTTGGATTGGAATTTCCGGTGCTGTTCGGTAGATGTGAAGTCAAGCAAGTCCATGTTTAATGAGTCCAACACAGAAGCAACTGGCGGGCGTGCAGGTGGTGCAGCGGTTAGCACGCATGACCCATGTAGGGAGGCCTTAGTCCTCGATGTGGCTGTCCCGGTTTCGAATCCGACCTGTGGTCCTTTGCCGCATGTCTCTCCCCCTCTCTCACCCCCCCTTTCCTGTCAGCCTACTGTCAAAAAAATGAGTAACAAAGGCCAAAGGCTGTAAAAACTAAAAAAACAAAAGAAGAAGCATCCGGCTCAAGTCAGGCACCGATGGCAACTCCATATAAGGTGAAAAAAAAAAAAAACTTTTTCAAGAACAGACACACTCTACGAGAACGAGCAGAAGAGTGCAGTTCTGTGTTTTGGCCACAGGTGGCGGTGTCATCAGAAAACTCTTTAACAGTGGCGATTTCTCATTGAATACTAGGGAGGCAAAACCTCCCCACCAAATTTCATAAAATTATTCTTAAGGAATGTTGTTAAACCTCATAAATTTAGTCTTTAAAAAACATTAATATGCTCTAAAATGCATCTGATTTTAAGTTGTGCATTAACCAGCTATTTATTCTGCTTTTGGACACAATCTCTCCTCATCCCTAGAGCAGCAGGACGCTGCCGGTCAGTCTCTATAGAAATCCCTGTTGTAGTTTTAGCCTCTGATTATTGGGGTAAACGGGGAGAAAGTAGAGCCCTGATTGGATAACAGTCAGAACAGTCGTCTTTTGGTGAAATCTTGCCGTGATTTCTGGAGAATATATTTCAGAGGCTTTTTTTCCAGCTGTTATAGTGATGGGTTATGTGTTTCAACATTTGTTAATAGAATACGTTACATTAGAATTCATAAACATAATTTAGGAAGAAAAAAAGTTGGTTAGTTGGTAGTCAGTTACAGAGGGGACACTTTTTTTGTGCTTCTTAATTTAGGCAAACCACAAATATATGAATGTATCTAGTGTATGACAAAGAGATGTGGTGGCTGCTGCTCGCAGCAATTTGAATTTTTTTTCCATCAAAGGTGTCTTGCCAATGACTGGAGCCTCCCGTGTGTTTAATGTTGTTTCAGATGAATGTTTCAATTATCATTTTTAATAATACTAACCATTCTCAATTTTAACCAACTACACGATAGCCAATCAAATTTTCTAACTAACAGCTGTCATTAAGTTCCGGTTTGGTCCACCTTCTTTCTCCCCTGTAGCTGCAAGTGATAGCTAGATTGCTAAGTGATAGCTAGGGGGTCTTTTCTGTTTTTTTATGTGTCACTTTTAAAAAGTTGTGCTGCAGAACGTTGCATTGCAAACTGAGTTGTGCAAATAAATACTCTGTATGTGTTCAGGTATAAGACACCCCGGTAGCTCTTGGCTACACATGTGTCCAACCCTGAATCCAAAACCTCCTAAAAGAAAAGTTGAAAATATTTACTCAAACTAAGCAACTCACCTTGTTTTCTTGATGGGATGCAACAAGCATATTTACATTCACAGATTCGAGGGAGGAGTCTAAAGACTAATGAGAGATTTCAAAGCTTAAAATAAGAGTCAGATACTGAAAAGCATCTGACACAAAGTGATTTCCCTTTGTATAAACATGCTGCATTAAAGTGTTTCAGTAAATTACAGATATGCAGCTGTTTTATAATAAATCATAGTCCAGTTGAAAAAGCATCTTCTTGAAAACACATTTAAGATATCCTATAAGCTTTTCCGTAAACGTAATTACAAAGAATGGTAGTAAAAGTAATAGAATAAATAGAACAGTGATTTATGGTGTTTTGTAAATTAAAATACTTAAAGGTATAGTGGAGGATGTTTTTTTCCGGGTGGATCATCAAAATAAGTGGTCCTCCTAATTGTCAATCATTATCCTATTTGCTCTCCCCATTTTCACTTACCTGTGGTGAGTCTGACATAGTGGAAAAATTGCAAATCTGCCTTTGGAAAGTAAGCTTGTATGAGAGTTGCAAACAGCAACTTTACATAAATAAACACATAGTAAAATGAGTTGGTGAAAAAAAAAATAATTGTGTCTTGCAGCACTTGAGAAAAAATTAAATCCTTTTCAAGCCTTTTAGATCAAAAAAATAAAACATGAAAAAACCCAAAAAACTTTGCACTTATTTTTTTTCTTTCAGGGCTTCCGTAGATAAAAAAACAGAAGTTTAAGAGGGAGGTTGCTTTACTGTTAGTTACAATTAAAGGGAGAGGGGATATAAAAAAAAACTTTTACTTCTTCATACCCCTTTTTAGACAATTTCCATTCATTAATGTCAGTTCTCCGGATGTCTATACCGACAGATTTATTTGTTCCTATTTATGTTGAGGTGAATCTAGTGTGTTTGGAAATTGGAGTTTGGTTTGATGTTAACCTGTCTCTTTTTGTGGGTTTTCGGTTGTTTGTTTGAAATATTTTTCGAAGTGGATTTATTTATTGTTGTTTGTCAAAATTGTCTGAAAAAAAATTATTTTCAAAGTTCAAAGTATATCAGGACAAGGTGAAATAAAATCACAAAAATTATCTCTAACACTGCTGTTGATTTTGTTGTTATATTTTATCATTCTAGTGGAATAAGGAGAATTAACCTAAATGACACTGCAGTGCCATAGCAGAATGAAAATGTTCTGGTAGAAATATAGGAGCTAATGCACTCTAGAGCTCCACCTAATAAAGCATCTACCCCTTGGAGACTCTTGATCAAAACACTGCGATCAACAGTGTCAGAGAGACAGATGTAATATCCAGCAGAACCATTACAATGGTTGGTTTAGAGTCAGCTGATATTAAACTGCTTATGAAAGCGAGACTGAAATCTCTCAAAAGAAACAATCTGTTTTTCAGCTACTTTTTTTTTAAAGACCCTTTATGGTAAACATAATCTTAACATATGGATTTTGTTTCTTTATCTTATTAGGATCTACATTTATTTTAGATTTTTAATAATGGATCAACAGCAATATGGTAGAAGGAGCTCGGAACCACAAGCGTTGAATTCTGTTTTTGCACATATTTACCTTTGAAGGGAGAAAATATAGAAAAATACAATGTAGATGGGCACACTCAGAAAAAGATTATTATACTCATTAGTATTAAATTTAAACATCTTTAGTTATACTAAATGCATAAACCTGACAATTATGTATTTCAAGTAAATAAGATAAATTAAACTAATAAATTTCTATCATGTAAGGTTTATTTAGTACGTTTGTGTTAAATCTTTTTAGGTAAAAGGAATTTGTTATGTAATAATTTTTCATGAATTTTAACTTTGGTGGGAAAATACTTTTATTATATAGCCTGAAGATAAAATCAGGGGAAAGTGTGAATAGATGAAACGCATCCAGAGCCTGAGAAAACCAAGAACCAAGAAATGATGGGCCATTGATGGACATAACAGAATTGAGAAAGTTATTACTGTCAGCTTTAGCAGGAAGAGGGGCTGTGGGAATCCCAAAGTAAACAAGAGATTATTTCTTTATAAGGTAGTCCTCGCTTCTAGCCATTTTTAAACCTATATAAAAGACAAACATATTTTCACTCAGGCTTTTGTTGTTTAGTGGGTTGTTGGTTTAATGGTGATTATTGGCTTTTTTATTTTTTTATTTTACATCAATACTATGTTTGTGTAGTTTCTAATATTCTCATTGCCTACTGGGATGCTCTAGATGCTTTAGGAGCCAATGAGTTTTAGCCGAGTCTGTGCAATATATTTTCTAATTTTTTTTTATAAATAAAGCTCGATTGGATTCAAACAGGACCTTAGAATTGTCATTATTTAAACAAACAAGCTTAGTAAAATATTCAGTCGTGGCAGTATGTTATCAACTTAGTGTGCATTTGTGGCCTTTTGCTTAATGTCACAAAGTGGAAATCATCCAAACCTGCACAGATGTCACATTCCAGCCCCAATCACCCTCCCTCCCGCCCCAAATGCTGGCTGAGGGCCACCATGCCTGGTGCTTTCAAGGCCTGTATGAACCTCTTAACCTGAGTGATGATGTGATGCGGCGGGCCAACGCTTCGGCAATGTCGCCAGCATTAGCCTTATCTGTTTGTCTGTGGCTCCTTAATGCTGGCCTGCTTCTCAGGAAGCTGTGGAAGCACACACCTGTTAATCTATTTGTCAAAACACCTCTTCCACCTCTCAAACTCATTTCTTTGGATGTTTTAGGCTGATGTGGTCATCCTAAAACCTAATATTTTTCTTATTTTTATTAAAATAATCCTTTTGTAGCCTAATCTAACTGAATTGACTTTAAATCCTATAATGGGGGTGTATGGAGTGCTTCCTTCTCCAAATATTTTTGTATTGTAATTATCGCTATAATAAACCTTTTCTACTGAGTTTTAATGCTTCGTGTAGTTTTGCAGAATTTGTGTCTTTACCTTTTGCAAACTTTAATGTGTTATTTTGAATTTCTAAAGAAAGAATAATTCAAACACACTATATTGATTTGTTGAAATAAAATATGAAACCTAAAAACCTTCATTTGTGCATTTGTATTTACCCTTTCAGAGTCCATGTTTTACAGAATCCCATTTTTTGCAAGTTTAGAACTAGTATCAGACGTTACTAGTTCTAAACAGAAGTTTGAATTTTCTTCCTTTTGCAAAACTATCCAAACTGGATGGAGAGCCTCTTTGAGTATAAATGTACCAATCTCCGGTTCGATTGATGTCTGGACTTTGATACAGCCATTCTAATACAAGTTTATGCCCAGTATAAACCTTTCTATTGCAGCTCTGGATTTAAGTATTTTATAGTCTTTAACAGTAACTCCAACAAGATTGCTATATATTCATCACCTATTTCAGTTCTTCCAAGCAACATTGATGCCACATTTTAGTAAGGAAGTAATGAAGATAAAGTACATTATCAGTTTTCCATCACACCATCAGTTTTCCTACAGCTTTAACTTTCCAGGTGGTAGATTGTGAAAAACAACACATTTTTGTCCCCTAACTCATCAAATACTGACCCCTTTGATCAAAGCTCCCTGCACATCATATACTGACACGACGGGAGTAACCCTCTCATCATATACTGAGGCCCAAGGTACGTAAATGACAGGTAGCAGATATTGTTTTCACATTAACCTCAACATTTTCAACACATGAACACATGTTCATTGCTAGTAGCTTTAGGAGTGTATATGGTAGCATGCAGGGGTAGGCAACGTCGGTTCCTCCAGTGCCACTGTCCTGCAACTTTTGCATGCATCCCTTCTCACACCTAAAACAAAAAGATGGTAATTGCCGGAAATCTGCAAAACTTATCAACAATGAAAATTGTTTTGGCCTTTTTTTTCCCAGGTGTGTTGTAGCAGGGATGCATGCAAAACCTGTAGGACAGGGCACTCCCCGGGTGTTGCCTACCTCTGGTAGCGTGTATTCTACCTTTTCTTTAAAGGAATAGTACACCCAAAACATGATTAGCCTTCATTTTCTACTCACCCCCATGCTGAACAAC